CAGTTCACCCTAGTTCGAGCATTTTGTCCTACGGAAACGCTCGTCGTAGACGTTTTGGGGGCGGAAAAATAGGATTGGCAAGGAAGTAAATTTGTTTAAGTAAGTGGAAACTGGAAAACTGTAGTTGAATTTATTTTCCACGGCCACTGGGAGTAACTTTTTACGCATGTTAATTGAAGGTGTGCGCGACGCTTCCTGCCGCGGACTACACAAATCTAACTCCACAATGGCAAGTGGGACTTCAGGTAAATTAAAGTAGGCAACCTCCTAACCACAATTCAATTTTTTTCAGGAATTTCAAGAAACCAGAAATTTGATAATCGGGTTTTTCTGCAATACGTTAAACGATAATACAGATAACGAAAATTTACAGCTATAAGTTAACAATATTTCTAAATAAAGTAAAATAAAAATGCACATAGCAGTTATCAAACTACGTTCCACTGCCTATCCTAAGTCCCCATCCATAAAACCCCTATAATTACTGTTTTCATTGGACAAAGTGCTGTTGCCTTTTGCCCTTCACACTGCACCAGATTTACAATCTACTATATATGACAAAAACTGGACGCACCTGTCACCTAGGCCCTCTTTGCTCTGTCGATAGGTGTAAATGTCTTTTAGTCCAGCAGATTAAATCGACTGGTGACCTGCGGGTGCACTCAAGAATCATAAAAACCTCTTTTCCTCATCGATGGCGACGAAGGTGCTCAAAAGGTCTCAGAAACTTCTAATTTATAGGAAATATTGCTGTTATTGCGATGGGGCCGACCCAGTTGGCTGGGGCCTCATATTTTCGGGGGACTGCCAACTGGAGATTTCTCAGGCAGTGTGCTACCAGTAGGTCCAAAATTGTCCAGTGAAATCTGCCGTCTGATCGAGTGGTAAACAGCGAATAGTGGGCCAGTCCGATGTCTTTCAAGCAGTTAAAATTTTTAACAACATACCTGCTCTTCTGAAAAGACAGAGTCAAAGTTTGAGGCTTGTCAAATATCCAAAAGTTTTTGTTTAAGACAATTTCTCGGAATCGAGGGGACTTTTTAGAAGGGTTTTGCAGACAGTTTGCTGACGTAAAGAAATACCTTTCTTATGTAATTAGGAAGCGGAGTACTAAGATCGCAGTTCAGGTTCCCCGTTTGAAAGATAACTTGTACCTCCTTTACAGCAACCAGTGTAAGCCCTTTTAGCGTAACTCACAGAGCGTTCTTCAAACCGAAGTTGCTCAGACCGCTTTGAAAGCAAAATTAGGATCGGTTCCGTGTCTAAACACTGCTATACAAAAATATTTTGCGAAGAGCTATTTTTTTCTCAAAACTTGTTAGCAAATGTGAGAAGAAAACTCCTATACGTCTACTCACTTCAAAAGTTTCAAAAGTATTACAACTGCAATGTATGAGAGTGACTTAATTTGAGCCCTTTATTAAATTTTGAATATTTATTTGCAATGTTTGGCGGAATTGACTTCCAAACCTCTTTTCAAACAAAAGCCAGTTCAAGCACTACTGCTTCATCTACAAGGATATTTGTGGTGGCCTTTATTCTTTCGAATATTGGGATCATACATGTGCGTTTGTATTGCTCTTAAATAGATGGAGCTGTCATTGGTAGATGCCTCCCCGGTTGACTCCATTTATTTTTATTTCTCGTCCGTTGTTATGGAGCGGGGGGCCAAAGGAATGCAAGCCCACACCCCCATCCTAGAAGAAAGTGCGTGGGAGTGAAAATGTAGCATTCAAACTGAAAAACGTTCATGTGCGGGGACTTGATGATACAGTGTGTCCAACAAGCATTCACATCCATGATGTGAATGCTTTGAACCTGACGGAAAATACGTCTTTTCACTGTTTTAGAAAGTTTTTTAAGAATGGGAAAAATTGTTTAGAATAGTTGACTTTAAAGACAAGGAGGAATGAATCGCCTAGTGTGTTATGTTTGTAGGATAATAAATCTATGGCCAAAATATTTCAAGGGAAAATATCTGAAAAATCAACCAGATAATGCCATATTCAAGCTAAGAATATGATATTCATCAATGCCTTTTGGTAATATTTAAAGAAACTGGCTAGGTTTGTCCATGCTGTCCTAGCAGTTTCATCTTTTTATGAATGCCGGAAATTGCAAACCTCGTGCACATTGTTGTGAAAAATATTTTACAAGCTATCGGAAGCGTTAGTTACTATAGTGTATTTCTTGCGAAGTATCCAAGCAAATTACGAACCCTAAAGCACGTAACTCGTCGCTGACGTTATTGACCACATAGATTATGATAACTATGAGGATGATTGTCAGCAGTTATGAAGCATATTAACGTTAGCCGGCATATTCAACATAGAAGCGGATCGGACAATCCGACAAAGATATTACAGTAATTAGCTTCAAGGGTGAATATTAAAGTGTCTTCAGAACAAAAGATGATGCAAAACGTCGTGGAAGCAGAGCACGAGTCGTTTGTGCATATTAAGCGTAAAAAAACAAGTATTTTGCAGGGATATATTTTTGTCGGCGGACCTTGCAATGGAGTCGGTGGTTTTGGCTATGACGGTGTGCAACCCTGTTTCACTCTGAGGATAAACAACTTCTGTGGCAGGTAACCGGAACCGGTGGATGGGGCGAAAGGCGTGCTGTTACGGTGTGAGTGCGGTGCAGAGAAAGACACCAATAACACCGGAGACATCCGTTAATTTGATAGGCACTACAAGTTCTCGACGATCCTACTGAACATAAATTCCGGCAAGTTGGACATTGGCACATTTCGGTCCATGTATTGTCCTTATCGAAACCACAACCTGACAATGGATATCAAAATATAAACCACTGTTTACTAACTCAATTTTAAAACTTTAAACATATTGCAGTTAAGCAGTGTGATCCATGAGAATGGCTTAAATGTTGATGAAATAAATAATTGCATTTTAATTACGCTAAAATATTACTCGCTAAAGACGACATATATGCCAAACACTGGACACACCTCTCGATCAGCCGCTCTTTGCTCTGTCGATAGGTTTGAACGCCTTGCAATCCAGCAGATTACATCGACTGGTTATCTGCAAGTGCATCCCAACATCACAAAAAGCCCCAACTCCTCATCTATGGCGACACAAGCACGCCAGAGATCTAAGGAACTTCCCGGATTTAGAAAATCTCGTTGCTGCTCCTTCTACTGCTGCGATGCGACGGTCCCATCTGTCTGGAGCATCAACGTTTCGGGGGGGGGTTCCAACTGGCTAATCCTCGGACAGTGTGTGACCAGTAACCCTCAAAGTGTCCAGTGCAATGTGCCGTCTGCTCAGCATGTAAACAGCGAGAAGTGGTCGCATCCGAGAGACGCTGACTGCAAAAATAGCTGATACAGAGCATCCAGTAACACGCCACCTCCCTGATGCGGTCGAATTACTGCATTTTCCGAAAAAATTCTTAAAACGTTCTGAAGAAATTTTGGAAACTCCGGCTATTTTGCTTGGAATGGTTGTCTGGAAAATAATGGTGAACTGAAAAGCAGTAGACGATAAATAACCTTGCGTAATTATTTATGATACAGGGAGCGCAGGTACTAATTAAATGCCCAGACATGGATTTCACCAATATTCTGCCGCTGCACGGCACAACTGCCAAGGGTTCGGCTCATCAGTGAGTCCTCCAGCACTACCTGTGAGCTTTACGCTAGAAACGCCAGATCTGAAATTATACGGGTTTTAATTTCCTCGGGAATTAATCTCGAACTTGGATTCAGCTGACCCAATTGTGAAAAATTCGCGGCCTCGGCAAGATTCGAATCCACACAGCAGGGAAGGCTTTGGCGCAACCAACGCTCTACCATTGAGCTACAAGGCTCACTGTGAGCCGTGAAGTTAATCTAATAAGAAACCGTATTTCCGAGTCGTACTTCGGCCCTCGAAAACTGACCAACGCGACTGATGAGCAAGGCAATGATGTTCCGCGGTAGCTTATCAGTAAAGCTTAAATATGTTCTAACGAGTATATCAAAAATAAGCCCATTAGTACACATTTTTCTGTGGTCTTCAGTTGAGAATCGCTAACACAAGTATTCTGACCAAAACGAAGACGTTCTACTGGTTTTTATAATCGTCTATCATTTTGTGAAATTCATCTAAAGGTTACAGTGATTGATATAGAATCATCATCTAGGTGTTACTCTATTCGAAGATAATTATGTTTTGCTGCGAAAGCATAAATCTTTATTGTGTTGGAAACGACGAGGCTCCCATAGCACCTATTTGAGGCTAAACAATTGAGTGATGAAAATCTCACAAGGCATGCGACCGCGTACATTCTCTAATTGTAAAGCTTTTGTGAAAACCTATACTTGGAATGCGAGTAATATTGGGGAGCATAAAAACAATCAATTGAAAAATGGCCGAAAATTTTAATCTGTATAATAGTAGGCATAGGGTCAATAACCCACCTTATCTGTTATATTCGATTGATAGTAAAACAACAGCCGATTTAAGAAGATACTTCCACCGGCGGAATCCAAAAGCTCCGTAGGATACTCCCCGATTCAAGCTGAAAGTGTTATATATGTCAGTGTCTTATAGCAATATATTATAAAGCTGGCTTACTTTATCTGAATGTATGGTCGGTGAAGCATCGTTCAACAGGTCTGGCAGGGTAAGCAGCCACATTCAACGTAGTTGGGCAGCGGAAACTCACCAAAAACTGCATGTCTTATGAACGTGAATTTGCCCAGGCTTGTGTTTGGCCTGCGGTCTCGTGCCCTAATGTGATTGGACGGTTTCCCCTCCGCCAGAACACTTAAAAGTCACGGTCGTATGCTGAATCGCAGTGAACGCATTTTCCTCTGACAAGACAGGCAGTTTGTAAACCCTGTATTTCAAACTTGCAAGTACGCATGCTTTCCTAGCTGAAAACAGTTTGTCGTCTCCAAGTGCTCGAATGTGAGCATACAGACAACCCAAGGCATCATTCTTCCGCTCTGTTTAATATTTGACGCCTTTTGACGAATCATGAATGCCAGTAAGTACACACACTATGATCGGCTCAACACCCTGCCGACACTGGTTAATAACGCATCTGATTCCCAATATATTCCACCTGACTATCAAGTACTTGCCTTGCGCGTGTTTGATTGGTTCACACTGCGAGTCCACTGCCAACGTCTTCTCTACTTCATCCTCTTCTATGCTCTGCTTGCAGCCTTCTTCTTCGGCTACATGAATGCGCTAATGTACTTTCAAGTGCCACGTGACTACCCTAGGCTGACGGGGGCTTACAGTGCCCTGCGTATGAATCCCGGCCTCAGCATTGTACCCCAACCGGATATATATAACAGCCTGATTTTAATTCGGACGACCGTACCTCTACCAATATACTCCCTGAACGATCATATCACCGCCTTCCTCCACTCCTACCAGGACAACACCGGTTGCACAGAGCTGGAGGACTGTGTTTTGGAAGGAGGTATAGCGCAGGATCCAGAGCGTCCCTGTGCTT